GTACTCTCTGCTATGAGAAAAATTCTTTTTCACATTATCAGATGATTGGAGCAATTCTCAAGAAAGGTGATAGGATAGGACATACTGCGACAATTATCGAGGAATCAGTTTACTAGATGTCTCAACGAAAATTTTTGATTCCTTTTTTAACTGACTTATGGAAAAAGCAGCAGGATGTTCCCTAACCAAGCTGGATTCAGACCGGGACGCGGTTGTGCTGACCAGATATTCATGTTAAGAAAGGTGTTGGAACATCGCTTTCATAAATATCTACAATCCACCGCCACGTATTTCGTTTATTTCACAGATGCCTTCGATTCAACAATTTGATAGAGCGATTTGGAGAATGATGGAATGCGACGGTGTTTCAGAGAAAATCATTCGACTCATAAGGCATTTTATGAGCTGATATCGGTACAGGTCTATTTATATGGGGAACTAACTGACTCCTTCGAAATAACTGGTGCCCCTCAAGACTGTGTCCTTTCTTTTACAATATGCGATTGGCTGGATAATGGACACCGCTTGTCAGCACTCAAGAGGTGTGCAGCCCAGAGCATCGTATGAAAGATCTTGAATATATTGGCAACTGCAATTAGAATCGAATAGCCTTTACAAGAAGCTGAGGAAATGCTTCTTTTTATAAACTCAATTCATTGCCGATTAAGAAAGTGCCCGATTTTGAATATCTTGGGTTCGCTCTAATACCAGATGGCCAGGTAAAAGATGATATTAAAACTCGGATCACGGCAGCTAGAAATGCGTTTTTCCGGTTGACCTTTATGGAGTCGTCGTGAAATCACCATAAAAACGAAAGTCCGCATCTATATAGCAGTGATCCGTTCGATTTTGCTACATGGTTCTGAGACGTAGCCAATGAGTGGATGATATTAAGAAGTTATCTGCCTTTGGCCACTCTTGTCTAAGGTACATTTTACGGATTCATCGAGCGGATAAAATCGCACATGATTATATCCATCTTTGCTCAAATACCACCTGCATTAATTTTGTTATCACAGAGCGTCGCCTTCGCTGGTTAGGGCACGTTCTCCGTCGTCGACTTCTTCGAGTTGACGCATATTTCGTTGCTTGCTAAATCCTATGATGGGTAGCATCAAAAGCAAGGTGGGCCAATCAAGATCTGAACTGACATGATCAGGAAGGATTTTGAATGTATAGATGGACCAGCAATAGACGGACTTAGACGATGGAAAAAGGAATGGTTTTTATTATTGTCGACAATGGAATCAGGCCTTGGAAGGGTCTTACCCTAGTAGCCTTTGGAGCCAGCCTAATGACTAATGGTAAGAGTTGTTAGAAGAAGAAGCTCGCAGTCCAACTCCATCAGTCTTAACTATTTTCCCTTTACTACCTTACAACCACACTTCTCCAGTCCAAGTAATATTCCAATGTTGAATGAGCGAGTCTCTTTCGTTCTTGGTATATAACTTGATGTCACTTGTATAGATGATGGTGGCAGTTCTGCTTTTGAACTTATTTCTGCACCATCCACTTCTAATTATTGGGCTGAGTAGGTTTTTACGTATGCAGAACGCTAGCAAGGATAATACATCATCCTACTATTAGCAGTACCTGAAAGCCACTTGTACAAGCTGTTTGAGATAATTTCAAGTTTCGTTTTCCACCTTGATTTCTCGATGAGAAATATCTTTAGGATCCTATTCACTTTTTATAGAGCCAGACATTCACAGAACTATGTGTGGGGTATTGAGTCATATTTCTGTAGTCAGTCCAGAATGTACTCAAGTTAATCTGTCGAGACCTTGAGCCTTAAGCCACTGTTCTATCTATGAGCAACTAATGTTTAGAACGTCTGACATTCTTCCCAGTTTTTGAATTGTATTCATAATAATCGTGGTTGGATCGTGTTATCCCTGACCCTGGGTCTTTCATGATCAATAGTCTCTTAATCTTAGTGAATGCCCGCTGTTAATAACTGGTTTATTTGTGTTGCTGGGCATTCATGTTAATTTTGGATTATATGGATCATTTCCGGATTAACGTTGTCAGCTTTTCATGCTTTTGACTTATTGTTTGACAACTGCTTGGCTATTTAATGTTCCTTGCCCTGGAGATTACTGTAGTTTGTTCTCAGAATATTTCCGCGACTTTTTTTGATAACATGAATCATCTTTTTCTCATATTCTTTCAGTATTATTCAGTTTTTATTATTGGTGTTATCATGTTGTTTCATTGACCCAGGATCCTTCTGTATTTGTATTATCTCTATTTCAGGCAACTAAATTCTTGCGATTCTGACCTTATTCTCCAGTCTTATTTCCTATGGCGATATGTATTGCTAGAATAAGAATTGTGAGCTCTATTCATATCTTCAAGTATAATTTATAGTGGTACTTCTCCATTAAGACCCGTTAATCGGTCCCGATCGTAGCAAGTTCATTCATGTCTCATTTTAGTTGATCTGCATTATAATGAGAATATTAGAAAGGAATTTGCAGCTTCCTAGCTTATTGACTGCACCTTGTCTTCTGTCTTGAATAGAGTGCAATTTCATTTTTTTTTACGTTGAGGAATTGAAAAAAACTATCAGTTAATATGAATGCAGATCTTTTGATCATCCACAGCTCCTTCATATGTTCCCTTTCATTAGGTCTGCTGTTGTAGTAGCATTCCATCAGCTACAATATATATATAATTCATTAAAAAACTGGTTTTCTATGTTCGTTAAAGGTTGGTACTTGATTATTTTAGTCATGTGAAAGAAGGCTGAAGTTATTTCTTTTTTTGGTTGAACTGGAAATCCAGAAATCCAAGAAATTAGCTTCAATTGCTTTCATATCTCATCGAAATTGCTTTCTTGTTTTCCCTATATGCAAACGAAGAAAATAAATCGATTCTATCCCATATTTCAACTCATGTCGAATCGCTGCTAAATTTTTATTTTTCTTTCAATATTCTTTAAAGAAATTTGGATTTTTATCACTGTTTAAAGATTTTTTTGGTCACTTTATTACGTTATCATATCGAAATTTTTCGAATTATTAATCTTGACTATTCGATTCAATTTGGATTTCTTCAGCTAATTAAAATGCTGCGAAGAGCATATTATCACTAAGAATTAATGTAAAAAGGAAGGACAATGGGACCAAATTACACAGAAGTGATGAGCACTATGCATTATTTTACTTGCAATCATGAATTTATGAAATCACGAAGCAGTTTTTTTTTCAATTTCTCTTGTGCCTAATAAAATTTTTCTATTTTTTTCCTTTTTCACGCAAAAAAAAGCTAAGCAATTTGATTTGATTATAATTTGAAATTTTTTTCATTTGTTTCATTTCTTCAAAAGTATTTTAATTTGTAATAAGTGAAGAATTCTGAGCTCGAATCAACTCAAAAGTTTTTTAAAATTTTAATTTCTTTTCAAATTTGCAAAACAATTCTTTTATTAGTTGTATAATTTAGAATTATTTTTCGAGGCTTTATATCGGATTGCATTATTAATCAATGGCTGCCATTTTGCCCATCAATTCACACCCGTTATATCTTGCATCCATAAAAGCATAATACATGGATAACCTACCATATGTTGAGCAAATATGCCTTTATCTTTAGGAATTATTGAATTCGCATTATCTCGTTTTTAACTATAATTTTTATTGTGTAAATCTTTAAAATCTTTAAAACCCGGATTTAATGTGATGTTGAATAACCATAATAAGTAATCATATTACTTAAGGTTCAATGGTTCAAATGATTTATTTATTCATATTTCAAAAAAAAGTATTGATTATCGTAAGCAGTATTTCTTTATTTATTCTATAAAAATTCTTCAAATGTAATTTGCTGTTGAACTCCTCAAATGGCTCTTTGAAATTGCAGTTAGTAAAGCAATTTTCTTTTGTGTTCATTCGACAAGCGTGATTAAGCAAGAAACTCGCTATATTTCATGGAAAAGGAAATTTTTTTCGCTAAAAATTAACAATTAAAATTATCTCATGTGTAAATGATTTCTTATAAATTGGGTATTAAAACTTTATCTTTCCTGATTCCTCATTATTCATTAACTCATTATTCCTGACAGAGGAGAAGTTTTCGGTAAAGAGAATCATTTTGAAAGAGAATCACTATTGGTTTCCATCTGTTCTTTTTTAATAACAGTCATTCATCAAGGAAAATCGAACCTATTATGCCCTTAATTCATTTCTAGTTTTATTTTCCTATTTTTTGAACTCGTGGTTTTTTAAATTTGCGATTTTTAAACTTTTTAAAATTTATTTGCACTTTTTTTGCTTTTGTTGTTTCATCATTTATTCTTCCATCTTAATTCTCTTATCACCTTGTTATCATTTAATTCTAAAAGAATTTCTTTAACAATTATTTGTATTAACAATATGTTAGAACTGAATATGAACATAAATGCATTTTTAGAGTTCTGTGATGAAACTTCATGACACTGCTACAACAGAGCTTTTAAAATTTTTATCTGCAGGAATGATTTGTTTATATCGCTAAACAAAGGATGACCTCAAGAAGGATCACGGATGAATATGATTTAAACGGTGGGAGAAAGGCATTTCGTAGCATGAACAATTTTAATAACGCTTGGGATTTATCAGGTCCAACTCTAATTTTAAAAGCACTCACCATTTCTGATCTGGCTAGATTTACCAGTTATCAAGATAAGACGTCTTCGTCAAGGAGTCGTTTTGAGGATGAAATTATCAGTGGTCTTAAGCACCATCTAGATTTCATTACTAATGACAAGTTACTACCACCAATAGGATAGGAGTTGGCTTTATTATAATCTTAGGTACCAGTATACCATCCGGCCACTCAATCCCTTAAATAGGTTTTAAATATTTTACATCTAATTCTTAAATAGGAACTTGTGAGTAGATGATGTTGCTGCTCTATAATAAAATGAGAATGTCTCCATAAAAATCTAAAGTTGAAGGAGAATATTTCAATGAAATAAATAAATGAATAAATTCAATAAATAAAAAGTCTATTGATGAATGAAAAGTAAAAATGAGCGAAAAAGATATTTTGATCCAAACTGATTTCTACGAAGTTGTGATAATAGCTCAATTTTCTGTAATTAAAATAATAATGGCCATAGAATGCATTTAAGAATCACATTTTCTAAAAATAATTTTAGATGCAAGAAATATAGAGATAATTATGCGTCAAGATAGTGCGATGCGTTCTTTTACGGAATCCGTGGACGCTGATTTGCCTCCAGCGCCGGTTCTACCTCCATCTCTTGATATCGACTATCAATATCCTAATGAAAGTGTTCAAAAAAGCGATACAATGGACACAATAATTGAAGTAACAAATGCATTTTTGTAGTCAAATTATTCATTATTCAATTTTTATTTTCAATATTCCAATTTGTAGCACCCTAAAAATTTTAGAGAAAAACAACTCAACCAGACAAAACCTTGGGAGAAACACAAAAATATCCTATGGTAGTCCCTGGCCCTGGACATGTTGATGCTGAGCAAGAATTGCATAGAAGCCTTCTGAATCGTGAAGCAAGCTCCGAAAGTGATTTTGGAACGAATGATTCAAATCAGAATAACGAACAGGATAATCGAGATAAGGTGCTAATACAAAATAATCTACTCAAGATTAGGAACAAAATCACTTTTAACAAAAATTCTTTTCTTCCTCTACATCGAAAAGATTAAGTGATTGTTGTGGCATTCAGAATACCGATTGCATAATTTACGATAATTGCCAGAAGGCTATTTGAACCATTTGTAAGATTGATCGATAATTTGGGCTATACTTCATGTCATTCTACGCCAGCGCCTATTTTATTATTACTTTTGTGCTTTTTTGTGTTGAGCACTCCCAAAGGCCAAATCAATGATGTTGTTTTTACTACTGGATTAGCATTATTGCAATTTAATGAGAAATTGAAAAAAACAATAAAAATTTCAGAAAAAGAAACTTGACGATGATTTTCGGGAATATCGGAGAGAATATTCCGTTTCATCAGTACAACGACCGAGACCAACAACACCAACTTCATGGTGTGCTATAGAAAGCTATGTGGAAAGTTTTGCAAATCACTCTCCTAAAAAATTGCAGCAAGTACCAGAAGCTTCAGCAAAAATGCGTGTTAATATTCCAGGAAAGGAAACGTCTCAAATAAGTACCAATATTCTATTATATTATACACAGATATGCGAAGAAATGGAGCAGATGGCGAAAATAAAGCTGAATAAATGATTTTAGCTTTAAGGGCAATAAAAAGTGTTATTACATTATACCGTTTATTGCTTCCTAATAAATCTTTGCAGCTTCACGGCATAGAAGGATTTCCGTGCCTTGGTCTGATTTTTACGAGAGTATGGCTGCGCAAATGCCCATGCAAGTAAATTTTTGTTTGAAATGTGCACTTGCGTGTACACATTTTTTAACACTAAAATAGCGGTCAGATACTGTAATGTTGTTGTTAATGATAAAGTTTAGGAAAGCAAAGTTATGGTTATAAAGTAAAGTTTAGGGAAGTTTAGTTAAATTTAAAATTTGTAATCAGTTTGTAGGATTAAGGCTAAAGAAGTCCATTTCAGATTTAATTTAATGGCATTGACCAAATTATCTAAATTTTTTGACAGAATCACTCAATCGAGCTCAATTAATACGAATATGGAGATAGCTTTGTTAATATTTAAACCAATATTTAAAGTTTTAACCATTTTAAGTTTCGAAGTTATTCTTCTTCCGGAAAGGTAAACCAAATGAATGACTATGATGGAGATATTTTGGATGATGACCCTCTCTATAAATCAATAGTTCCGCCTGTCCCAGTGGTTCATCGTCGTTCCTCTATGGATTGGGAAAATTTTGAAGAAAATCGTTCTCAAAGCGGTGGAAATGGTTAGTAGAAATATTTCTGATGGCTGCATTTCTAAACATATATTTTGCTTTTTTTTTTTAAGAATCCCCACTATTACTGGTTAAACTCGCTCCGATGGCTTGTCGCATTGGACAAATATGCCAGAGAGTTCCTTGGAGATAGAAATACAGGTGAGCCGCCAGCATCCAGATTTTTGGGTAGGTTTACTTCAGCGAGGAAACCTCAGAACCTCAGCATCGGCGCTCCGAATTTTAGCAACAACCCACTGAGCCATTCTATCCCTATATATTTTGATATATTTTGCTTTCTTAATTTTTGTCTAAATACTTTCTTCATTTACATATCAGGTTGAGCAAAATAATGCCGGTTTTAAACCGCGGAATGTTTGATAGCATGTCTCTACAATAAAAAAATTTTATCAATCAAAATCAGAACCACTATAACGAATATTTTTGTAAACAAAAAACAGATTTTTCCATTACGGTGCTCACATAAAATTCCGAAGTTCTGTTACCAGTGAATTCTACGAAGGCACTTTGAGCATCTATTTCGAATTCTCTCGTAAAAAGCTGTCAAGATGGTTGAGAAACAATAATTGACAATAAAAACAACAAAACAACAATAAAAACAAATAAAACAAAACAATCAGTAAATTTGCGTAAAACAGAATTTCTGCATAAAGGTTTATCTCATCAAACAAACTGCGATGAAACTAAGCATCAAAATTTCGAATTTCAAAAACCGTCATTATTCTTTCTTTAACCTGATATTAATATTAATTATAAATAACAAACTTAATATTCATTAATTTTTTTCTCCATAAATACTGATAAAGGAGTTAGGATCGACTTAACAGAAAACAATGCCAATTATTGATGCTTAAATATTATTATCGTCAAAAAATTTTTATTGAAACTCATATGATAGAATTAAATTGATTTATATTCAAGCCGTAGGGCATGGTGTAACTACCATTTCAGGCTAATTTGTTACTAGAATGAGACAATCACAGTCATTTGGAGAAACACATTCATGCAAGTCACATCATTCCAGACTTTTTGAAGGCACTTTTACTATTAATAGAACTACGATACCAGGAATAGTAATCAAATCTAACAAATTTAATAATGCTCATTCTCCTATACTGCTGGTGGTGTCGCTTAGAAATAATTACCAAATGCGGTATGGTGCGTTGCGGTATTTACTCAAACTTCATGTTTCAATACGCTCTAAGATTCAGTACGTCCCCTTAAAGATGCAATTTTATGGAGTAGATATAACTTTATGCAGACGATAGCCTTTCAGTTAATCGTATTGCTTCATCACATAAAATATTTTTAAGAAAATTCGAGATTTATATACGACGTATATAACAGCGATAAATCATATTTCAGCCTTATTTTTAGATGTAAGAGCGTTTAAATAGCTTTTGATGCAATAGATTACCAGTTTATAATACAAAATAGTAGCGATTTTTAAAATAGTTCTGAATTTTTTATTAGACAGAGGCATTTTGGCTATTAAAATACCTTCTAATTTTTCGAAAGTTTTCAAGCAACAATGGCTTTAATTTGATCGCTCGCCAAATAAAATGTTGGAACTTTCGAAATTCTCCAAGTTGGAAGGTTTAAGTTGAGGCAGTTTAAGCTTGTTTAATTTAATGTTTTAGCTCTGAATATTAAAAACCTTTTCCTTTTCTGATTTGACATAGTTATGTTAGTTAATATAGAAGATTGATAAATGTTTCAATAGATTGCCGATTATTTCATCTTATTATAAAATTTTGCCCATTTTACGAAGGTTGGTCTTTTATTTCCTTTTAAAGCTGCAAATAAGGAGTCGAGCAGTAGTTGAATTGATTGAATTTTAAGTTTGTGCTATCGCATTTATGCATTATTATAATTGAAAACAAATGGATTTTCGATTATTTGAAAAGTAAGGTTTTTTCCAAGTCGAAACCATCTTCCTTCGCTCATTTGCACACATCCGATTTCTTATTTTTTCCTTAATTACCCATTCCTTAAATTTTTCAGTTCAATAAATTAGACGATTTATTGTGTTTTTTTTCTGCCAAAATTCTTTCATATTGATGAAAAATATGAAATTTTCATCATCCGAAATATTTTTTTTGCTATTCTGTTGCTAAAAGAAAAAGAAAATTAATTTTCTTCATGCAGATTTCATTTAAAAAAGTTCTTTTAAATCCTTTTTCTTCCTCTTCAAAGAATATCGTTAAAGTTGGCATCGATTTCGAGGATACTGAATAAATCCACATATCATTTCATGAAACTCTTATGAAACTCTTCATTTCATGATAGATGGATTCATCGATTGTGCTATTTATTTTAGGATGATCCATCTAAATGAATACATAATTCCTCTGGATGAGGCATATCAACGCTTATGTAATTAATAAATGTTACTTCTAAGGTCCACTTTCATTCTTTATTTACCACATTTGCCACAGAATTTGCTTTAAATTCTCTTAATCTGCTTTCTTGCTGATGGATTAAATTTGCTAAATTCCACTTTCTAAAAAATTGGGGAATGCTTTTTTATCGGCAGACGCATTATTGACTTTTATTTTGCGATCCTTTGCTTTTTAATTCCTCAGAAACTATTTTACCACACGATTTTCTGGTAGAATTTTTGCAGCGATGAGAGCCATTTAATGGAATTTGATTTATGATTGATTCGAAGTTTCTTGGGCATTTCACTATTTTCAGTTATAAACTCATTTTTTGTTCACTGCAATTACATATTGAGTAAAAAATGTGGTTATAAAAGTAAAAGCAGAAAAGCGGCAAAAAAAATGATTAGGCTAGAACCGCTGGCTATAAATATGGTTAGCAACTTTTGCCAGAGAGTGAGTGATTTGAATCACTGGGTAGAACCACCTGATGCGTCGATCAAAACCATATGATTTTTTTAAAAATAAATTTTCTCCTGTCAAAGAATCGGACCTATGATGCTCGATTCGAGTCCAAAGAACCAAACAGAAAAAAAAAATAGAAATAAGGATAAGAATCGACAAGAGTGAGCAAATGATTTGCGCTCATTATTTCTGGTTAAATTAACTCTACTGCTTTTAAACATTTTTCTCAGAAAAAGTCGTTTGGCAGTAGAAGAGCAGTTGGGTAGCCAGCATCACTTCGATTTCCTTATCTCTGATTTCGATAATCGATTTCATCAAATATTTAAAGTCCTTTATTTTAATTCTAATTGCTTCCACTTACTGCATAACTATGTGATGCTAATTAAATCATTAGCAAATTCTTTCTTGATTTTCGAAATATGATGGAGTTTAAAGTTGAAAATTTGTTCTTTTCCTGAAAACTGTATATATGTAGAAAATGGAGTCATTGCATTTTGTTACAAGTTGCATTTATTATAAACTGTTTAAATTAAAACTGATCATTGTCCTATTTCCAATTATAATTGATTTTTCAGAAAGGAATAATCAAAAAATAATGGAAAAGAATGAACTTGGTAGAAAGGATTCAAAGGTAAGTGAAGTTAAATGCGGTTTTGGCGACAGATCTTCTTAGGGAGTGCTTAAATCTTTTTCTTGATCTATGTCACCTTAGGAATAAGCTTCTGGCACCATAATTTCAAAATTATTTAATTTAAACAACGGCGATAATTATATATTTTCTTGCCTTGTTGTTAACTATTCGAATTGAGGTATGCATCCTTCGGAATATAACTTCACAGTACTTGCATTTAATAGTTTTACGATAAGCTATAATTAAGATTCCTGAAAGTTCCAAACACATATGACGCATTATCTCGTCATTTCATGCGGTCACTGGTAATAATTCTCTGTTTTCTACGCATGAATTTTCATGAGCCACTTTTATTTGTGATTCACTTTGAGTGTGGTATTTATCTTATATTACGCAAACTGGAAATAAATATGGCTATGAGCGAAAATGTGGCCATAGAGGAATTTTGCCAAATTATAAGCTAGTGTGAAACGAATAAAGTATATTGTTGGTGGGACATATGCTGAGCACAAATAGATTACGAAAAGAACAAAGTTTCGCCAGCTAATTGTGGTGGAGTACCATGGTGTGATACCATAGCAAAAGTATCTTATTAGTTTTATTGATGATTTTATCACATTCCCTGGTGCTATTATGTTCAGAAAAAAAATATACGAAAGCAGGATTCATTTTTGATGGCAAAAGAGAGATTTGCCTGCTTTTTAGATAGCTGAAGCGTTTACTATTACTGAAGTTACCACTCCTGACAAATCTTATGTTGCACCAGAAAATACTACGGATCAGACTTCATGCGTGATCTCTCAGTTTTCCATGGATGAAAAGACTTCCAAAGAAATAATCGATGATGATCAAAAAACCATGAATTGCACAGAACCATCGTTAGACACAAATATTATTCCTGCTGCTTTCACAAGTGAATACAAAGCTTCAGCAACAGCAACGAGTGATATATTATCTGCCATTCCTACCTTTACGAGCAACAATAAACTCCTTGATCAAATATTTGAGAAAGGTAAGGTTGAAATACGTATGCGATCCATTTTATTTATCATTGGGCAAAATTTATTTTATACTTGACTTCTGAAATATAGTTTATTTTTGCTACGAATATCTGTATAGACAAAATATCGACTGCATTTTTTGGCTAGTGATGACTAATTATCCACCTCAGTTTCATTTTGCATGAGTTAGCTGATAGTGTATAACAGGCTAATATTTAAATGCTACATATATGTATTTTCAGAAGTTATCAGGAGTCAAGATCATCAGGAGATTGGAGGTCAAAATACTGCGAATTTGGAAGAATGTCAAGACAGTTGGCATGAAAATTTTGGTGTGCAGCAAACCGAATATACGACAAATTCTAGTGTGGAGACTGATGCTGACCAATCATTAGCACAATATTCTGTGACGAACCAAGAAGTTACTGCAGGACCAGTAGCGCAAGCACCAGGGAGCGAAATTTTCTCTGACGAGCTAGGCCAACCATATTATTTGGGTGAAGATGGACAATACTATTATTTTGAGCAATATGGAACATCATATTATGGCACTGACTCCGAAAATATGTATAGTGGATATGTAGTTGGCTATGATGCAGCCCAAGGTATTTCCATATTATTTTTATCACTTGTTTTCAAAATTTAAATTTATTTAATTTAAATTTTCAAAATTTATTATCACATAATACTGAAACTTAGAATCTTCTATACGAATTTTCTTGTTCATGAGACATGAGACATTTTAGTAATCACATTTTTAGTTATCCTTTTCAGTTATTTTCATTTATTACCATTCCACAAATATTTCAAACCTACATCTTTATTTTTTGTAACGCTTGCAATATGAACCAAAAATTTCTGTGGTATTTTACCGATATTTTTAGTCTTGATCAAATACTGTTCTTCTTGCCATCTTTATTTGGCAATTTTCGTTAATTTCAAATCTGATTTTTTAAGAAAGATTGCAATAGAAGAAAAAAATTCGATGGTCTCAAAATAAAATACAAATTTCATGACATTTTTGAACTCTGAATTTTTCAAAGCCTTCCAGTATTCCTTTTCAGTATTTCATAAATATTTTAAAGGATAATAGATTAACCAGTATCAATATTCGGGGAAAAATGCAAAATCTTCGCTTTATCCCAGCCTATTATATCGGACATTTTAGCCTCAGAAGGAGAACAAAATGCAAGTGGAGAGAATAGTTATGACTCTGGCTGTACTACTCAGCAGTACGGTAGAATAAGTGATCAGTTTGGGCATGAGAACCAGTATTATCCTCCTATGCAATATGACAGTGAAGCCGTTAGCGGTTCAAAGAGCGATGTTCCAGAGTTTAATAAAACTGGTTTTGATGCACATTATGAAGCTTCTGGTAATAACAGACCAGTTGTTCCACAATTCATTGCACCTTTACTTCCAATGCCTGAAAAGTTTGTTTTTGCGAAAATTTTTTGCTTTTTCTATATGACTAGGGAAGATTTTAGGGAATAATAGATTCAATTCTGTGCACTCGTTTTTTTCCTATGGCAAATTCTTTCTCAACCATTTGTGAAGGATTTATCGTTAGGAGATAACAACTATGGTTTTGGATAAAATCCCCATTTCTGGTTACATAATCTTTCGAAAATTAGAAAATTATTTAGAACATTGGACCCTTTTTCTTGGGAAGCACAAGCAAGAAGCACTAGCTATGTCAAGCAACTATTCACTCAGCCAGAAAATCAAGCACCAATATTGGTGAACAAGGAAAAGCAGTCCGACCAACTAAGGTATTTTGTGTTTTAATTCATTCAAATGCAGTCATACATATAATCCTTCGAGAAAGCAATTCTCCAAAATTTAATACATTTAACTAAATACGGTTCTGGAAGTTTTCTTGCTTTTTCACTAATCATTTCTAATTTTATTGTCATTTTTTTAAAATTTTGAGATGCATTAATATTTAGCATAATTTTTCAAGAATAACATCGAATTCTCGAGGCATTTTTCAGTTACTACGACCATCATCAATGGGAAGAGCAATCCCAAAAAACGACTCCGACTAAAAAACGTATTTCAAGCTATTTTCTTTAATTTTAAATTTAAATTTAGATTTTAAGATTTTAAATCTAAATTTAAATAAATTTTAACAATCCCTATTTTACTTTTAGTTGGCATTCTTAGAGATAAAATGGAGACATATGAATATTAGTCAATATTAGTTAATTGAATGGGCGCATGCTTTATGGATGGACGTGTTACTAAATTTCAGCACCACCACGACCAGCAGCTCCTCGACCGGCTCCTCCACCTGTACCAGCACTGCCGAAAATTACGACTAAAAAACATGAACCATCTCCGTCATTGAAGTCAACAAAATCACAGCCAGAAGAAGATGCTTGGACACAATTTAAAAAACTCACGGAAAAAACAAATATTGCAGTAAAAACAACGGAGGAAAAACTAAAGGAATTAAGCATATCAAGCGCTGCTCAGGATATTAAGGATGAAAGCTATATTGCACAAATTGGGTTGGTATTATATCATATAGAATGAAAATTTTCGTCACTGGAAAATATTTAAAATATTTGTAACCGGAAATATTTGAAAATATTCAGCAATTTGCAATTTTTTCAGTGGTTTTCAAGCATATATTCCTGAGATGGCACAAAAGCAATACCGAGTCCAACAAGAGATCAGTGGTCATATAGGGACAAGGAATGGCAAATCTGGTAAGAGGATTAAACCGCAGAATGAAAGGAAATCTAGCTTGGATGCTACACCCGCTGAACAGTCCAATATGGACAAAGCAGCTGAAGAATTGGCTAAAAAAATGGCAGCACTAAGACCAGAATTACAAGTGAATAATTTATAAGTTCATTTTCTTGACAATTTTTGAATAGAGATTTGTACATTGAAAATACTTATTATTCCCGGAGTAATAACAATGGGAAAAAAATTGAAAGGATAATGAAAAGAGCAATTAAAGAAAAGTTGTTAATGGATAAAATGGATGTTGTTAAAATGGTTTATTGTTTTGAATTTGTAAGTCATAAGTTCTAGAACTGGAAGCCACCATCTGAACGTGAAAGTAGCAAAGGAGAGACCGTTCAAAAGACTAGAGAAGGGAAGAGAGAAGCGATTTCACAAAAGTAGGTGAAACAATGGTTACACTATACTGCCTTATTTTTGTCATAAGATTTGTTTCTCTAAAATTCTTTTGCTTTTGCAGATCTTATTTCATCGTCTATTATTAAGAGCACCAAATTTAGTCAATTTCTTTGTATTGTGATAAATATCACAGATAATATATTCAAAGCCATAAACTCTACTTGTTGTTTAAAACTTTAATGACACAGTTCGAGTTCATTCGAGTTCACAATTCATGGAGAAGATTAATGGCATTTTGCTCCCGTCAGGAGACAAGAATCTCATCCATAATGCTTGATTGTTTTTTGGCAAAAACAGCAATTTCTATTTTCATTGTTTATTTTTTATCTTGCTTTCATGTTTGTTTTTATTTAGTGCGATCAACGAACTAATGGAAAGCAGCGATACCATTCCATTTCAAATTCCAAAAGCCGAATCGTTGGTTTTGAAACTTTTCTTCAAGCTTCAAGATCTTTAGCATCGTTAGTTAATGAATGCACGTTATATTTTCTGCCGATGCATATGGGATATAGTAACTCTCAATACATGATAAGATCGCGATAAAAATTTCTATTTTTAGGAAGGAAAATGAACATCAGGGATGGGCAGGCTTTGGTGAAAGTGAAACTGTAGAACTTGCGCCATCGGAGTCCGGATTTTTCTCAACTAGCGTCCCACAGACTTGCGACGAAATATCGCAACAAGTTGATCCATTTGCTCCCAATGGGTCGACGTTCTCTGGCGAAAATTTTTTTATTGATGTTAGTTCCACTAATTAGTTAAAAACCAAAGTAATACGGAAAAGAAAATTTTCGCAGGATGTCGTACTTATAGTGTCCAAGAAAATTTAATAATCCAGCATTATTTTTTACGACGTTCCCTTAAAATTTTATACTAAAATCCACTAAAACTAATCATATGTGAATTTAAGGATTACGATCCGTTTGTTGTAAAGTCTGCAAAAGAGTTCGTGGAAGAAGCTAAAAATAGAGCTGCTACTGAAGCAGTTGCTACCGAAGTGCAAGACGATCTTGCATTCTTTGGTGGTGCTGTGGCTGAGAATCGAAAAAGTGCTTCGAGCACCCCTACACAGGAAGGTGGTAGTCCATCCAGCTCCCGACCTGCAGGCTTTGAAGATGAGTTTCAAGTTGAGGTTAGTTCATCAATTATTTAAAAATAAAATATCTAATTGTATGGCAAAATTGAATAGTGAAATTGAATTGCTTCAAAATTTTTAATCAATCTTTTATTTCCTCTTTTTATTTTTAGGACGATGCAATGAGTACATCTAGTCCTTTGTATGACGAAGACGATAGTCAAGAACTCACCGAGTTTCCAGCTAAATTCGTTGGAGAAGGGTGGAATTTAATGATTCGATATCCTATTAAAAAGAAGATCATGGGAGATAGATACTGGAAAACATGTTTTGTAAAATTGCTGGAGAATATGTTACAAATATACGCATCTCGATCTGATCAAAAACCTATTCTTGAGATTTTACTTCAGGTTAATTATGCTATTACGTTAACGTTACTAAAAATATCCTCTATTTAAATGGATTTTGCACTTAATGAATTGTCATCTCTCGTCTGTCGGCTTTTCATTTTTGCTTCTAAATATTTTCTCTATATATTTGGGCCTTTCTTTGTTGTTACAGGCGACTTACTCTCTTTCTGATACTACGTTGCAAGCCTATGACATTTATGGCAAAATTCATACTGTTAAATTGCAATATGTCTTATATAAGGAAAAAGTAGGAATAAGGCCAGGTAAAATTTTCCTATGATTTTGAACCTATTTTTTCTGGTAAAGATAACGAAACTGTTCGGCTATATTAGATTCTTTTTGTTAAAAATATAGAAATTATATATACTGTTCATATACTGTTGAAAATAAATGGGAAATCGCGGCCTCAGGTCGAACGATATCCTCATTCAAAATAATTTAATATAATAAAATAATAATAGTCAAATTGGTGAAATTTAAAATTCTAAAAAATTGGTTTTTGAATATACCATTTTCTTAAAAATGGGAACTTATCCTTGCTAATATGTTTTAATGAGATCAGAGAGAAGTGATGGATAGTTTTTGCCACCACTTGAAAAAAATTATTGAAAGCTTTTATCAAGGTCAAATTTCACGCCTGGTGGAAGGACATATTACAAAATACGGTCTTCCTCTTGAACACTCTGCTCAGTGTACCATTTTGCTAAAATTCGGATCGTTAAATGCCATCGAACTGTCGACGTTTGTTACTACAATAGAGGATGTCCTGTTTAAATGTGTTGCCAAAAGAGACACGGTTCCACTTTATAAACAAGATGAGATTCAGGTATACTGATTGGCATTTTAATAGTTATATAGGTAAAAATGCCTCAAACGTTTGGTTTTGATGAAATTTAAAATTTTTAAAAGGAGCAAACAGCATACGGATTTGAATTTAAAAATATTATAAAACAGGAAAAATCTTTATCCTACTAATTGATAAAAATAATAAAAATGTTTGCTTCATTTGACTGCTATTGCGAAAATTATGTTACAGATCCACTGTTATGACGAATATTCTGCATATGTGGATAAAAATAATTTACTAATCGACCAAAAAGCCCGTGTTAGATTATTTTGCTTGGCTTTTGTGTCAGGTTCGCCTTATCTTGAAATCGGTCTAAATGATCGCAGAAGACAAGGAAAGGTTGGTGATCGTTTTTTCCACGCCCTATTCCTGTATATTAAAAAAATTCAAGCTCTTTTGAGTTCTTGCTAGTTTGCTTACAATTAGTTTTTTGAGGCTAAAAACTGCGGGTGAAATATGGATATAACGATTAAAAATAAAATTTGTGTAAAATTTTTGAAGTGGGAATGCTTTTCAAGGAAATTGTGCGGAGAAAAGACATTCTTCCAATGTACACCGAGCGTTGGATACGGTTCGAAAATGTCGAATTCCACAACACAGTTGATACGACGACATTTGAATCGGAACATGTCATTAAGTTTTCGCCTCCCGATGGATGTTTTTTTGAAGTGATAAAATTTTTTTCTTTTCTATTCACCCAATGCCAGAATATTTGAAAACCACATATGCGAAATCAAAAATGATTAGTAGTAAGCGATTCTAAAAAGAGAATTCTGTATTGATTTCGAAAGGACTTTGTATTGTAGAAACCTTTTAGAATAGCCACTACTAATTGTACCCTAAAAATATTCAGGTAATGCGTTTTCGAGTGCGACCACCAAAGAATCGCGAAAAGCCTCTATCAGTGAAATGTTTAATGAAAATAGCTGGCTCAAAAGTTTGTTTAACTAATTCATTCAAAAGTTTACAGCTATACAAAAGCTATACAAAATGAAAAAAAATTTCCTATGCAAACTATATAAAAATTTCCGTATTTCTTTTTTGCAGATAGAAATAAGGATTACTGCAATGGCTGCAGCCCAAGCAGAAAAATCTAAAGGAGGAAAGTATAGCAAGCGCCAAGTTCCATGCGAAGATATACAGATTAGATTTCCTATACCTGAAGCCTGGATATACCTTTTCAGAGAGGAACGTCATTGGGGTGTCGGTTCAGTTCATGCAAAGGTTCGAAGACCTGGTAAAGTGAAGGTATGTGAATGTGAAAAAGATTTAGTTTAAAAGCGATCTTATCATTTTTCTTACTAAAATGTTTTTCTTAAACAAATTGAAGTAAAGCTTTTCTAGTTAAGGTACATTTTATAAGGTACATTGTTCGGTTATATAATGTTGAAGAACTTCATTGCATCTTTTTCCAGAACCTGAAAGATAGGTTGATGGGTGCTGTGCAAAATGTGGAAGATTCATTAATCGAAGCAGCTATCGGCGATGCAAAGTATGAGCATGTATATCGGGCTCTTGTATGGAGGATACCTCGTCTTCCAGAAAAGCATCATGGTGCTTATAAAGAACATCTATTACGCTGTCGTTTTGAGCTTTCATCGTTTGATTTAATGCCGGAAGCCTTTCTTCCAACATGTGATGTCGAATTTACAATGCCGTTGGCTATGATCAGCAATACGGTTGTTCGGTCTGTTAGTGTTGAGCAACATGACGATAGTGATCGAGTTGAAAAATTCGTGAGATACGTTGCTAAATGTAGTTACAAGGTTACTAACACTAAACTTCTTTTCTTTTTTTCGTTAAGTTAGGTCAATGAGATGTCTTTTGGTTATTTATGTTAAATTGTTCGCCTTACTGATGGGTTTACTGGTTCACTTCTTTTTCAGTTTGAAATCGATTACATTCAATGCAGCGATTTGGACATGGATACAATTATGGACCAGACCTTTGTCAATCCGAAATTTTCTGACGCTGGTATTCCTCATCTGCACAAACCTGCTTTTAATCCGAATGAGATCAATGATTTACATGGAGGGTTCGTTTACTTTTCTTATTTTGTCATTTCCAACTAAATAAATAAATTTAATAAATTCTTTTTCACGCTTGATATTACTTCTGCATTTTGTCAGTCCAGCATTGATCCACATTCTCAAATACCTGTCATCATTATTGGCTATTAGTTGAGATGCTGAATATCATGCACCTGAAATCTATATGAACGACTGCGCTATTCCTAATAAAAATTTTGAAAATTTTTAAGATATGGTATTGATTTCACTGATACTGAGATGGGAAAAGCAAGACCTGAAGATAAAAATGTCGATTCCAGTAGCGACGAGGAAGAAGAGAAAAACAAAATGCCTATCATACAGATTGATATGAAAAACTATGGATATTAGGGTCTTTTATTCATGGATATTTATCAACAGAAAGCAATAACCATTTGTAATTATGATGAACGTTCATTAAGTCTTTTTTTGCAACAATATGCTTTTTTTACAGAGTCTTTAATCGAAATATCAAAAAATTAAACATTCGAAAAAACTATTAGGGTGTAACTTCAAATTATAGGCTCCATTTTTGGGTCATATTTGGCTTTTTATTCATGGATAGTTGGCCTAAAAAAATTTCACTTGTAAGATCATTTATTTATTTACGGTAGTTGTAAATGCAATATATCGCCATGCTCCATTGTCATGATTGTTCTTTTCATTATCAATAGGTCGTAATTGGCTGTTGTGTAAGAATATTATTGACTTGATTTGCGTAAGATAAAGATTATTCCTTTTATGATTTCAATGGTTGTTTGCTTCAGGTTCGTTGCAAAACTACATTGTGATAAGGAAGCGAAATAATCGTACTTAGAATTTTAAAACTGAAATAGTTTGTTAATCAGACTTAAATAATCAGACTTAATCAGACTTAATCAGACTTTAGAAACCTCTAATGGCGATTTTACGCCTTTTAACTTTTCTTTTACTTAAATTCAACCAAGTTTTAGTGAAATTAGAATATCCAAACTAATGATAGTGTAGGATTTTTTTTCTCGACTTTCTTATTATTTATTCGTACTTTCTTATTATTTATTTGTCAATCTTAATTGTTTCCCAACTTATTTATAAAATTATCCACAAACTGAATCGGCATATGAATGCATTTCATGGCTGCTTCTAGGTTATTTGCCTTCAAAGTATTAAATATTCAAAAAAACCCTTTCGTCGAATTGGTACTTATTGTTTGGTTATGCAAGCCGAAATCTTATTTTCTTTTTTGCTTTTAATTTCAATTTCTGTATTTTCTTATTTTATATCAAACACTTTCATATGAGATCATAACTGATCTTAAAATTTGTATGTTCACAAATTGTCTTCATAGAATCTCGTTCTCAAAATTGTCTAAATGTTTTTTATATCCAAGTCTTGTCATCGTCTACATGCTTAATTTTATCCTAATCAATAGCTTTATTTATTTAATTTATTTTTTAAGCAAACTCGATACCTGCTGATTATCTGATAGCAAACAATTTCTTCGGTGGATAATTTCTATAAACCAGTTGTATAAACCAGTGATAAAATTGATCGACGACTGGCAAGCATCACTGCTAATCAATTAGCCAATGTTTATTTAATTGAGAATTGCCAGATTAGCAGTCGTTGATAAAAGTGATCATATAATAATTAAAAAATAAAGTAAAAAAATTTAAAAATGCACTGAAGCGGTGAAAATATGGAAAATTTAGATGATATAATCCACTTTTTTCATGCAGTTTGTAATCACTAATGTGAAAATAATTTCTCAAGAAAAGGGTAATAAAAAGGAATTCTATTTTATGGAAAAGAATTTCTTAGAAGAAAAAAATTTGTCTTGTTCGAGTGAAACAATACGCATAATTTTTATTTTGGCTTCACTGATAATTAATGTGAGAGCGCCTCGCCAGTTTACATAGCAGTTAATAAGTAGGCCTTCAAGAGCCAAACTTTAAATGGCAAAGTTGCTCGACGAACGCAGTATTCCAGTGGCGGGGTGCTGCCGACTTATTCCTCACCGCCAGATTATTTTAAATAACCAGAGGGATGATAACAGCCGTCTTAGTGGTGCATTGAAAATAGTTCACGAGAAAAAAATCAAGAGAAGAGACGATTCGAAGCCAAAGCATAAGCACCACCTAATGTGCATATACGTTGCAAATACATGCATTTCAGCAGTGCATCCAAACCACACTTGCATCAACAGCTGATTTACGCAACATTTTTTCTTACTGCAGTTTAGTACGTTTCAAGTTACCGACTGCACTGCGTTGTAGTAACGTCTGTCTTTTAGGAATTTTTTCAATGGTTGATTAAAAGCAGGTTCTTATTAATTTGACTAGGAAATTAGTAATTTATTGGTACCGAGGACAAGAACATGTGAGAAGGCATGATAAGGTAAGTATAGCATATATCTTTACATGGAATTTATGCCAGTGATTGGCTGCAATTAGGTTGGGAATACCGATTAATGAGTCGGTTGGAAAGGAAGAAAAAAAGAAAACGAAAAAATCAAAGCGTACGGAATGGATAATAGACAGTGATTAGGCATTGCCCTTTATCATTATGTCTCCTATTCATAATAGTGTGCTCATAAGTAAAACGCGTTTATTCATTCTGCTAATAAAAAAGGGGAAAATTTCTTTAGAAATTTCCGGAATTTCCGCAGCACGAATGCGTGTAACTCAGCGCTTACTTATTTCTTATTTTTATTGTTATTATTGTTTTAGTGTTTAAAATGGTGATAGCATTAGCGATTTTCGGTATTGTGTCGCTTTTCTTGCTATATTTGTCTTATCTGCGCAGACATTCTCAACGTTCATTAAAAGTCGATGAATCGTCAAGGGCCAATGCGATCAAATTATGCATAATTATTGGCTCAGGTAATTTTTTCTTTTTTTATAAATTTTTTGAAAAACCTTTTATTAGATGAGTTTAATGTTAAAATAGATTTGTAGAGTTTTGTTGAAATCTTCCATATTCCTAATGTAATATAAATTAAATTTTGGTGGCCATACGGCTGAAATGCTATCGTTGTTGACATATTTCGGCACACGTTATGCGGATAGGATTTATATTGTTGCAAGAAGCGACAAATTTAGCGAAAAAAAGGTTAGGGATTTTTCTTTTGCTGAAATCGTTCTGGTTTGGCTGGCTCTGTTGACTTGTCGAACCAGACAAGTTTGTCGGAAAGTCATAGAAGTACAGGTGAGTTCCCCCATGATTTTTAGGGAGATAAGTATTATTCCTGCTAGATGTAGAACCTCATTATCGAGGCACCGAATTGAGTAATAACCCACTGAGCTTTTATACCATTTTGCTTCCACCATTCGCATTGTACTTCCACCTGGTGAAGCGTGAATCGACCGAATGCGAACTCGAGCCATTTTTCATTCTCTGTATCAACTGTGTGAAACATTCGTAACGAAATAGAATTTCTCTTTTGTTCTTGTTCTAACTCATAATTTCAGCTACAGTTAATGCAAAGTTTGGAATGAGATCTTTTGAATAGAGAGTTCCTTGATGAAGTACAAGCGAATTTAAAAAATTTTCAAAGCCTTCCATTTTCCTTTATTCTATATTACGTTCATATACGTTCATTCACATTTAAAAATTATTTAGATATTAGAATTTGAAAAGGGAAAATCATATGGCTCATTTAGTATTGAAAAAATCGGTCGAAGTCGAGAAGTGATGCAGAGTTATTTTACATCCATTTTCACTACAATAAAGGCTTTTTGGGAAAGCATCATCATTATTTTACGCATAAAGTGAGTAAATTTCTTGCTTGTTTTTATTATTTATAACCGAATATTTTTTTCATTTTTAAAGCTTTCCCAATATTTTTTCATTTTTTTTAAAGCCTTTCAAAGTTTAATTTGTTAAAGCTTTTAGTTATTTTGCAAACAAAAATTAATATCTATGGTTTTTTTATTTCCTAAAATTAAAAAGAAGGGGAGCATTAAGTCCTTACCTATTGGCTGTTCAGTATATCTGGTTTTAATGGTTCAACACTGCTTTCAGGCCCGATGTGGTTCTATGTAATGGACCAGGCACGTGTATACCGATTTGTGGTGCAGCTGCGATGTTTGATTTGTTTCGAGTATGTGATATTCGCATATTTTTCATCGAAAGTATTTGCCGTGTCAAGCGATTATCGCTTTCTGGTCTCATACTTTATTATTTGCGAATACCCGATCTTATTGCTGTTCACTGGGAAGATTTGGCAGTGAAGTATCCTCGTACTCAATTTATAAATGCATTATAAGTTCATTTCATAAAATGCATTTAATTGTTTGCTGTTTGGTAAATTATTCGTTTGTTAAGGATAAAAAATCTTGAAGATTTAGCATGAAGTTTGCTATACAAGGTCGATGTAATTCAATAATTTATTGATTTCATTGTTTCGTATTTATTTTTCTGTTATTTATTGATTATTAATTACTTATATAGAACGAAAATTTGACAAAACTTTTATTTTAGAAATTTTAAAAATTACAACCGTTTATAAAATTAATTATGAAGAAAAGCGTGTCTGGAAAATGTGACATCCAACTTTTTGCACCGAAGGATTGAGATTTCTATCTTCAGTTTTATCTCCGTCTTTAATTATCAACTTAATTTGATATAGCATCTGAAAATTGCAGATTTGATGATTTAAAATTTAAAAAGTGGCTAAATATAGTTGTTGATTCCTTTTGCAGTTTGATGAGCATCTTGAAATAAGCGTAGTTTGCTTCTATTTCTCAGAAAGATTTGCCTCACAAATTATTATTACCCTGTAGGCCAAACTTTGTCCTAACTTTGTTTTAATATGATGTGGTATAATTTGCGCTTCAAACGGATTCAAAGCGCTTTTTGCAAAGAAGTTTTAGAATGTTAGAATTTATGCTTGGGTGCATGGCAAATTTTAATTCATGTGGTAAAGATATAATTTGGGGCCTATAGATTTCCGCCAGATGTCGGTAGATAAATCCAGGTTTTGTATACAACTAAAGGAAAATAACAGGATAAAATAAGTTTATAGCAAAAGTCAATTTTTCTGCCAGTCACCTCATCATCTATCAGCAGTCCAATTGGATATAGGTCGAATTGAAGTTTTAGATCATTAACACCATTATATAATGGACAGTTAAATATTTTACATCCGTTCAAATCATTTCTAAAAGAAATATTAAGTCATTTCCTAAATCGATCTTTAAGTAAAATTCTCATTTAAATGTTATTTATCCAAAAAGATTTTCAGAAAATTTCGAGGACTCCATTTTCTGGAAGCACCAGTAAGAGAGAAAGTTTATGCTCGCTGTCCATGGAAAGCATTCATACTCCAGATTGGGCATTATTATTAGTTACAATAAATATCCAGATGTTGATTTTTATACCAAGGAAAGTTTCAAAAAATTGATTGAATTACGTGAATCCGAAAGTTGGGTATACGTCCCAGTAGCATGTTCCATTTGTATTTCTGCTCCAAACGAACAATTCCACGTCAATTAATGGTTTTTGTATATAAAATATGAGTCAAATGAGTATACTTTTATATAAAATAATTTCTATTTCATCATTATTGTTAACTAAAAAGACAATCTGATAAATCCATTTTTAAGACAAAAGCATATTAATGAGGAGCCATGATTGCTAAGTTATTCCATTGGTTTGGTCGTAAAAGCTGGTTGGTAAGACAATTAATACTTTGTTAAAGATTAAATAAAAAGTATATCTAATGCATTTTTTTATTTAAATTTAAAGAATTCCTTGAAAAATATCGGAAAACCCGAAAAAAATGTGTGGGTAATGACTCAGCTTATGTTGAGAGGCAGAGATTGGGGCCCTACTCTGGAAAAAATAAATTTATCATTAAAAAGAGTGCTGCTGGCGATTTGTACTTCTATCGCCATGTTATTCTTCTTGTAAAAAAATTTCTAACCGTACTAACAATCAGCGAAGCTAGCCTTGCCAGAAATATTGAGAGCTTATGGTTTACTTTTCTTTTGCAAAAAATATCTTTCGATCAATTTGTTTGTTGATAAAGAAGAATATTAAAATAATCGGTTTCAAAATTACCAACTTCTTGTCCTGAATTCAATAGTACCATATTGAATTGAAGATTTCCATCCAACTTTAATGGATATCCAACCATGCTTTTATTACTTAATGACAAAAAGATCGAGCCATTTGGCACTAAAATAAATTTTTTTTTTAAAGAAGCGCGAAAATTGGTTTATAGGAAATCATTCAAGGAGGATACCCTTTATTTTTTCAAAAAATAAACAATAAACTTACGTTGATAAGTGCATGAAAAATCGTTGAACGTGAATGATGTGTCGTTATGAAAGTTATCAAGTGGACAACATGATGATACGGCGAAAGATATGATCAATCCGAATAAGACACGAAGCATTCTAAGAAATAAACATAACAATGATAAATGATGGTAAAACACTTCTAAAAATGTATCACAGCGACCTTAAGCATCCGCTTGATTCCCAAGTGAAATTTAAATTTATCCTCTATCGCGAAGGAATCTTTTTTGAGAACCATAATTTTTTGTTCATCTAAAATTAAAAACTATGACCGATTCTTTCGTTACGACGATGTTCTTAGTACATTGAAATATGCCAATATGAGAGCATTTATGAAATTAATAATAAGAAACGAAAAAATATTAAGATAAAAGATAATAGATCAAAAGTTAATAAAATTAATAGCAGAGTTCAAGCTAAATGATCTCAAAAATTAGAGGCAAGTTGTTAGATTAAACTGAACGAAGATGAACAAAAAATATTTTATCGTTGATCTTTATATATCTTTATACAGCTGTTTCTTATGCCTATGCCAAGACAGACTTTTTATCTTTCAAATGGTAAAACATGGTGTTATTAACCTAAAAGTACCTATATGCAATCAAAATTGGAGGTGAATTACAAAATGAAATCTTCTATAATCCTAAGCGATACGATTTTTTGATGTTAAAACTGGTTGACTTCAGCAAAGCCGAAACGTAATATGCATAATGAAACAAATACCTAAATTTTTTTCTCATACCTAATTTCTAAATTCCTATTGAAAAAATAAGGAAGCTTATGCGTATAGAGATTCCTAACAGAATAGTTACAAATGAATTTCTCTGCGATATTTGGTCTTAATTTAAGTTTTTAACGACCATCGAGATTTTCATCGATACAGAGTTTGTTTTCTACAGGCCAAGAAACTTTTGACTTTATAAGCCACTGTCGCTTTTTTTTATTTTTCACCTAATAAAACCTTAAATACGCGGTTTTCTTTAAATATTGCAGGTAAAGAAAATATACTCTTTTAGAGCAAAGCATACCTTTGTATTCTCAACTGCACATCAGCTTTAGCCTATAAACAATTCGCTGCAGGTCTCTTTTAGATTATAAACCGTTCAAAGTATTAAATTATTTGAAATTAATTTTTGTATTAAATTAGCTTTTAATAAAATTTCTCACTCACAGTACCATCACTCACAGTACTATAGGTTATTACCACAACTTTTGGCAAATGAACGAAATGAACGAAAATTTCGATTTTTTTTCCATAATAGTTTAAAAATCAAAAGATTTTTCCTAATAAAAACGCCAAGACCAAATTGTTTGTTTTTTTCTAAATTTTGTGATCCTTAAGTCTTTCGTTTTCAAAAAATTCAACAATCTAACGTTCCTTTGACATGATAGCCGAGTGGATAGTGACTCAGACATTCTACTGAGGAGTAAGAATTTAGATCCTGAAGAGGATCGAATCTTAGTTATTAAGAACTCCGGGAGCTGCTGACGACCCAACTGTACTTCTATCACCAAGTGATTCTCTGGCACAAATTTTTAACCATATTACCAGAACTGGAGAGCACTAACCACTTAACTGTAAACCAAGAATTAAACTTTATTTGCAAAGTTCAGGTTTACACAAAATGAGCAATAAAACTTCCCTGATCTCATTTCACGCGACATATCAAATCCGCCGATAATTCATATGCGAATAGAAAGAATGATGGAGAGAAATTTTACGCATTTATTTACGAATCATTGAATAATGAAATAAAAAGCATCAAAAATTTTAAGCTTGAAAAAGATATATAAATGTCTCAAATGAAATTGGTGGAATAGAAAAGAATTTACTATTTTATTAAAAAGAAGTTAAAGTAATGTTTTTTAATCACGGAAAAATAAAAAGAGCCTGACTGGCTGATCAAATCGACAAAGATTCTTAGAAATGGAAAAAAAATAAAACAGAAAGATCGACGAATAAAGAGATCCGAAAAATTTAAGAGGAGTAATGGAAATAAATGGTTCATATTTGAATTTAATGGAAAACAAATCCAAAACATCAAACATACAAATTGCAGTTTTATAAAATATTGAAGGTGCATAATATGATAAGTAAATACTGTAAAAATTATCTAATCAATCAAATCTATAAATATCAAAGGTGTAAATTCTTAGTTGCAACTAGAATACGTAATCGATGGATAATGGATCGCTTAAACAAAGAAATAATACAGTAATCATGAGAAACACACTAATGGAATACGTACAATTTGACGAATTGCAATAATCTGTATGACACCAACAAGAATCCTCGCTAACGTCCATATCTGCTATGCAATCGACAGATGTGTGTCTAAATCTTATTTATTACTTATATGTGCAGAAATTACGAGGTGGTTTGCATAAACAATGGATTAAATTTTTTTTCATGATACGAATTTTAATCGCGGCACCTATTAAGATTGCCGTCACTTATAAATATGACTTCGATTATTGCAATCTGAGGTCTATTTTGAAAAAGGGGTGATATTCTCCCACTTTTCTCAAAAAGTAGTTTTTCGTCATTTAAACGGTTACTCACTGCAACCAGTTGAAACATTGTCACAGAAGACCAGGTCAAATATATTCGTGTGGCAATGTAATATAAATTTTTAATGTTCATTAAGGATAATCCACTTATTTTGCCAAACATTGTTTTATTACAGTTTGCCACAAAAATTAGTGTTTGACATGGAGGGCCTTGTAGCAGTAATTTATAAGACGAACCTTTTTATGCAATGTGAATCTAATGGTTCATTTGCTGTTTTTACATCGCTAGCATTAAACATCGAACTATAGCAAGATCGCAAAGTCATAAAAGAAAGCGATCCTGCAATAAATAAACCATTTATTATTATTTAGCATATTAACATTACTTGAAATGTTTTTTAATATTAACAAAATGAGTCTTTTTTTCTGAATAAATACAGTTGACTTGGAACCCTACGAAGAGACTGGAATTCGAGACTTTTTTTATCATCCGGAAAAGTTTAACTGATTTTAAAAACTATTTTTTCTAATGGATGCTTGAATTGATAGCCTCTGCAATATATGGCTCGACTATAGTCCTCTGACTTTAAAAATTATATCTAAATTGTATTTCATTGACTATATAGCAACATATTGGCACTCATTTGCTCTAAAAATGGTTTAGTGAAAAAGCTTTCCCACTTAAATGAGGATCCGAATTCTTGCTTTCTTGTCAAATGGTGCCTTTTGGTTTTCAAGCATTATCGGAAAATTTTTTGTTAATGGAAGCTAAGGATATTGGCGTGGATGAATAAACTGTATAATTGGGATATTAATAACAATATTAATAAAATTGAAAATAGCTAAAATTCTAATTCATATGGTAAATTAAAATGGTTAGTACATCGTTTATCATTGGAGAACAAGATCCGAATCTTTACTTATCAACATGATAATCTAAATCACTATCCTTATTTCATATACAAATATAAATATAAATACCCGAATTATTCACAATTTCTTGCCATTTGAAACAAGGCCCATCGCATTCAACCTTGCTGCGTTCTTTTATTATCCACGCATCCAAATTGCAAAAATCATCGAAAACTTTCGGCTTTTGAATTCTCTTTTGTGGCCCGCGTTGTTTTGTTAGAAAACTCTTAAAAGTGTAGAAATTCGTAAATTTGTAGTTTAAATTTAGATAGCATCTATATCAAATTGTTGGAGATAAAATGGTAAGAATTATTTTCAATTTAACACTTTTTTAGACGTATTTTAGGTACCCAATTAAGTAATTCAGATTTATAGCCAGTCCTGAATATAATTCGTTTGAGAAAAAGAAGAAAAACCAGTCGACTATTAAGTAAAAAAGCCAAAAGTAAAGCACCGTAGTGCAAGGGGAAATTTAGTGGTAAAAATTTTTTGAGGATACAGATCAGCAAAATACTAATGCTTATAAATTAGAAAGTGAAAAACTGAAGTTAAAATGGATAAAATAATTTATATAATAATGATTTATTAAGGATTTATTTCTTCAGTTACTACTTTCCAGTTTCGAAAACAAGAAACTTAAATGCAGAGTTACCTGTTGCATATTGGTTGACGCACAGCTATAGCAATATTCTAAAAAAAAAGCAAATCTAGAAGATTTTACAGCAATTGATGCATAATATATTTTATCTTCATTCATTTATAAATGCGAAGAAAAAATGTAAATGCAAGAAAAACTGGAAAATGTGAAAATCGATTCAATAGTGATCTATGCTAACTGATTTTCATGTGACTCAAAAAAACTGTATAATCGTTTTTTAATTTTTATATTTAAAAAATTATCCATCTTACTTGCTTCAGTGGGAATAATTGCTATAATATCAATGATAATAATGAAAAATTTAACAGAAAAGTGTGACTGGTAAGTGAACATGATGTAGGAAATGAGTTGTATTTAGTCTTCTACGACGCACCAAAATAAACCATTTGTTTACATAGCGGCATTTGCGAGGAGGTTTTCTTTGTGCACACGAGATTTTCCTGACATTTTCCGTTGGAACAATCACTCCTCATTTTTCAGCAATTATACATATTTTTCAGCAAATATACATGAGTTTTTTTCTGTTGTAAAAATAAAAATAAAATCTCTCATTTCGATCTATCGTTTACAATGGATTTAATCCAACTTTCTGTTATATCAATCCTTTAACAAATTGGAACCATTAACCAAGGCTCCATTCAGAAAAATCCAAGAAGCGAATCCATTTATCGTTTAAACAACAAGAACAAAACTTATACTATTTTTACTTCAAATAATGAACATTATTACTTTTAGTTGAAAATATTAGCACATCTTACATTCTTCTTACTCTCGAAATATCCCGGAAAAAGGCAAATGCAGCAATATACCAGTTATAATGAAAATAATATCTCACGATAGGGAGGATTCGAAATATTAAGGAATACTTCAGTTTGCCCAAGCAGTTCAAGATCTTGTTGGATTTGCATTGATTAGACAAACATACATTACTCACAAATATAAAATTTGATCGATTTTATATTATTAACTTGTTACTCAGTACTATATACAATTTGTTCTAATTTTCTCTCATCCTTTTGCACATTTTGGTGGCGCCAGTATATATATATATATATAAAATCCCTCTCTCACATCAATGCGTGGTATAGGCCTTTTTCGACCTCGAAACTTCTACTAGAGGTTTGAGAGTTTGCGCAATTGGCTGTTCTTAGTGCGCTTTTTCAGATAGAGATCTCTGGTGTTGTTCCTGGAATCATTTTCTAGTTTAGGGGTCACAGCTCCAATTGCTGCAATTTAATTTTCATTTCTCATTTAATTTTCACATCTTCTCTAGTACCTCTTTCAGCCCTTGGTATTTTATATTCTTTCTTCCTGATGTTCCTATCGCTTGGTATTGCTGTACCAATAACCAGAGCTAATTTCTGATTCTTGTCTATTACCATGATATCTGGTTGATTGGCCAGTTTGCTTGTTTGGATGGGAAAGTCCCACAGGATCTTCGTCCTTCGTCTTATTATACTCCATGATTTTCTGAGGAATCTCCCATTTAATTTTGGTCTAAGCCATGTATTGAGCAAATATTCCTGTAGATAATGCTTCGTTATGCCTTTTAGTGTCAGTTTTGTTCCTGTTTGCATTTTAAATCCTGCCACTATGTGATGGATTGTTTCTGAGGTGTTTTTGCAGAATCTACTCCTAGAATCTTGTGTAGTGGTCCTTGCTTCAATGGATCTGCTTAGTGCCTGCTCTTTTGCTGCTATGATCAATGTCTCAGTATTCCATATTGCATTTCAGTCCAGCTTTTTCCAACCACTTGTAGGATTTCTCTGTTTCGGTTATTTCAGCTATCTATCGCTGGTATAACCCATGAGGGGTCTTGTTTTGCGATGGTATTTCCTCTGATTGATCTTTTTGCAATGTCTGTAGATGTTTCAGCTGTACACATTCTCTCAGCAGCTCATTTCATCCTTTTGTGCTATCTTGTTGATGTATTTCTGAATGCTTCGGGTTTTCTAAGACAATGATTTTAATGCTCACCAATCCCATCCTCATTCTTTTTGCTTATGTTCAGTCACTAGGTGTTAGTCTTGGGGTGATTTCCGTTTATTATGAGGAGTTTCCTGGTCTTTACATCAGCAGCCTCCACGTCTTTCTTTATATATCTTGCAATGCCAACTGTTTACCTGATGACTGTCAGGGCATACATATTTTGTTCCTCCCATTGAGCTGACTATTCACGTTTTGCCTTGTCCTTTGGTAATACTTAGATACTGCAGTCTTCACTGCCTCTTCATCATGGTTACCATGTGACTGTGGGTGTCGCGAAATGCGATGTCTTTTCTAAAATTATTATTTCAAACTGGTGATCCCAACTCGCCAAAAGAAAACTTTCACTAACATGATCGATTCTTTGTTTATTCCATTTCATATGTCAATAAAAAATAAAGAAATTCATAATATATATTGTATATTCTTCTCAAGAAAATCACTCTTTTTCCCTTATTTAGGAGCCGTTAAGGGAGCCAAGCGGTTGAGTCCTAGTATTTGTGCATTTGAATATTCATTTTTTGTTATTTTATCCTTTAACTTTTATTCATTTCCTTTGTTTTTGCCTTTTAGTTTCTTTGATTTAATCGAATTTTGTTTTTTATATCTGTATATTAATGTAGTTTAATTACCCAAGTTTGAAGTGGCGAATTAAAAAATAAAAATTTTATTAATACGTGCGGTAATCAGTATTTAATCTACCGTACCGATAAAGCAGCCGGATCAAGATTATTCTAAATTAATTAAACTTTAATCTTTTTACAGTGGGATACCAAGGCACTTGTAGTTAGTCTGTATAATCGCTATATGTCCTGGTGGCAAATCCACCACATTGGTCATTACTACTTTTCCTCTCTCAATTACCATCCGGCCACATTTCTCTAATCTGAATGACATCCCAATGTCCTCGCTGTGATCGGAGTTAGATAGATGGGCGAGTCAGTAGATGGCTTATGGTAGTCGTATTTTTATCAATGTCTGCTTCTCGTAATATCTGGCTGAGTGGGCTTAGACCTATGCGGAACAATAGGTGAGACAATGCATCACCTTGATATATACCGCATTTGATAGCCATTTGTGCAAATAAACTTTCCTATGGTCAATTCAAGCTATACACAAATTGGTCGATCGGGATATTTTAAGTCTTTAGCGACCATTTTATCTATGAGCAGTTGGTGTTTGGAGCCTCTGATTCTGTTCCCAATGCCTTTTTGAATTATATTCATGTACTAACTTATACGTTTGTGAAGCTAGATGGTTATGAAGAAGGAATATGAGAAGAATATGAGTTAGAAAAATATCAAGGGCTGAAAAAGAAACTAGAAAAGATTTGGAAAGTGAAGGCCAAAGTAACTGCAGTTCAAATGACTCCATTATAGTCTTATTCAAACAATCCATAGCCGACTTCTCTCGCTTTTTAAATTAAAAGTTAATTGTAGTGAAAGTAGAAAAGTTGCTTCAGTAGATTTAATTGTAGTGAAAGTAGAAAAGTTGCTTCAGTAGATTTCAAGGACAATATCAGAGATCTTTTTCCAGAAGAGCGCATTATTAGGAACAGCTAAGATACAGCGCAGTACCCTCTATCTCCCAGGCCTCTGGTAGAAGACTCGAGGATAATCATGACTACTCACAAGGCATGAGAGAAGTTTGGAAGTCAAAATTAAAATAAAATATATAAAATGGAATAATAATAAATAATAAATAAATAATCGAATTCACTGTGAAATTCAGCGTTTGGAAAACTGGAAACCTGCATGTGGCAATAATAATTAAACATTTTCACTTTAAAGCCACAAATTAGTTATAGTTTTGTACGAATTAAGACCGATTCAAAAATTTACTTTAGAAATTTGCTATATAGCGTTCTCCAAATCATTATCAAATAGCTGAAAACCTAATATCAACAATTATCAAATTCATAATTTTTCTTTCCCATTTTTTTGGAAAATTTGGAAAACTGCTCCACTTGTTCTTTCCAGCATTAAAATTTCTTTAAAAGCTTTTTTCAGCATGCAAGAAATTGCAATTTCCCATAATAGCCTTGTTCTTCTCTAAGATATCAAAACCTGCATCAGTGAAACTCCAGCTCCAGTCCAAAACCTGCTTCAGTCAAACTCCAGTTGAGTCTGCACTTTAATCTTCAATCAGTGGTTCATAGTCCTTCAACACAAACTGCAACACTCGTTGAGATGCCATAAAGGCTGTAAAACCATTATGAACCATTCATTAGTCGACATAGATCTACGATTATAACAATAAAAATATTACATTCATAAAGCACCGAAGCTAAAGCTGTAGTTTGGCTATCTGAAGAGTTTGAAAATTCTCGCAATTTAGCGCTCTGAAATATTTATTTTTAAGATTTTGAACGATTATAATTCCGCATCTGCGATATTAAATACAACACAAAGATGACGATGTTTCAGTAGGATGAAAAACTAAGCAATGGCACTCATTCATTAAATGACATCAATATTGGTAAATTCATGAACTAAGCTTTTTTCTTTTCAGGGAAATTACGCTTTTGATTGAGATTTTTGATTTTTAGTTGACCATCGGCAAATTTTCTTGGTCTGCCGACGATAATCCTAAGTGCAAACAATAATCGCTCACGTAGCTCAAAATATCTATCAAAAAAATAGATAAATTATGCATTTTTCACAGATAAACTATGTCAGTACGAGTTTTAGCCTAGCATTCATCATTTCGAAATTTCTCCTCTCTTTCACAACAGTTCAGTGTCTGAAATACGTACTAGGCTTTAAATTATGAAATTGTGGATTATTAAATGAACGTTGATATGAAAAGATAAGCACAGTACCAAAAAAACGTAAAATATTTTGGCAAAATGCATTGATGGTGAAAAATATGCAACAATAGGTGATCTTTGTCAGTTATTATCAGAAATTCATTGAGCAAAAGTTTGAAAATAATATGAATGGTTGAATAAAAAAACGAATGCAGATTTATTCAGTAAAAAGTAAAAAATGACTGTAATAAAAAACTGTTTGCTGCGCGTTAGAACTCGTACTTTTTCTGCGAGAAGCAAGCTTGTCACTAAAAACTCGGGTTCCGACCGGACCCATTTACTATGAGCAAGTGATAAAAGCCCT